TATACAGGAAAACTATTCAGTGATGAAAAGCGGGCTTGAACTATGTGATTACGGTCAAGGAGCATAAGAGGAAAGTTCAGAACTAGAAATAGCGCTATGGTAAGAGTTAAGACTAGTTTCTAGACTGAATCCAACTCCCCACTGGTAGTGGGTCCTTGGATTTATTGGCTGGCTTCTCTGGTACTCAGTTTCTTAAAATGTGGGACACGGGTGGTCCATGTGTCTTTACCTGATATTATCGATAATGTGAGGATTTGGGGTGCCCAGATTCAAGGGGAAAGCGATTGGAAGGAAAATGGAAAGAATCAAAAGTATAAAGAAGTGTAGAGAACTGAGAAAAATGGGAAAAGCAGAAACTTGAAGGAAGCAGGAATAAATGGGTAAAAGCGGCAGAAAGGTGATTTCAAAAAGACTAAGGAGCACATTCAAATGCAAAGCAGAAGAGAAAGCCGGGGCCGCGGGCTTCCCCACAGTGGGCGGCGGCTCAGTGGAATGCGGAGAGCGGTCGGATTCCGCGCCGGGTCTGCCAGCTCCTCTGGCGGGGGAACGATTCAGGGAGAGAATGGCGGCAGGAAACACCTGACGCACGATAGCCACGCAACAAATACTTAAATACGTTTATTTTAGGAATCTGTGGTATATGTTTACTGTAAATACAAGTACTTAATGAGGGTAAAATTAAATAGTATACAGCTGAACATAAGGGACTATAAATAAGGCTGAGCAAACAGAAGATTGAGGGTGGCATAGCTGTAAAGCTAAAAGTCCAGGATTTCAACATACCTTGGCTAAGAGTTATTTCTTTTTCCCCCGAGACAGTGATACTTACTGATGGGGTGAACCTAATGAGCATCTACTAGACTTTCCTGCCAGTAGCATACTGATGCTATCCACCTGCTGTTTCTCCTCTGAGGTCACTCCATTAAGGAGTGTTTTATATCTGACACCTCATTAGGCTCTGGATACCTCCTGGACGCTTTATGCAGGAAGTCATTCAGCAGGAACCCTGGCACTTCCCAAACACAAGAGGGCTGCCTGGGAGGAACGCTTCTGACCAAACGAGACCCTTGCATTTAGCAGCCCTTTGAAGGAGAGGTCTGTGTGGCCACAGGCCTGGCCCTTGGTCCAAGCAGCTGATGCCGTGGTTGTGCTTTGGGTTGAGGCAGGAGAACCATGAAGAGGTGTGGGTTTGAGGGATGCTAGATCATAAAGCCCGTGACCACAGCAAGGGTTTGGTAATCAATGTCTGTGACCGAGCCAGAGGAGCTGACAAAGACAGAGACATCCCTGACTTTATACCAGAGGGAACCAGACGTCTATAGATGCTGCTGCTTGTGTACACTGAGAAGCAGGGTGTTTTTAAAACAAAAAATCTGAATTTTAATTAGATTGTTTCAACTGAACCTGGAAGTCAGAAATTGAATAAATCTCTCCAAACCTAGTTTAAGTAATATGAGAACCTATTCAGCTCAGCTGTCTGGAAGGCTTGGACACAAATTTTTTATTTTATTAACAACTATATTCTCTGCTATTTGCCAAGCTTTGGTTCAGGCATTTTGCTGAGTTGAAAACTGTGGAAATTTGTTGTAATTGGAAGGGAAAGAATCACATGTGGTTTCTTCCAAACCTTTTTCCAATTTTTTTTCCTTTTTGTTCTGAATTCCATGGGAAAATTACCCAGAGGGTCATTTTCTCTTTTAATGATGCAACAATGCTTGGTTTGCATTGCCTCTTTTTATTTTCTAGCTGCATTATAATTACATTTTCCCACACTACATATATTTTTTCTTCCAAATTAGTAGATATAAAATTCTGATGGCTCTTTAGGGAGCTAATCTCCAGATATCCTCTCCTTGGGCTGTCCTTTGTGTGGGAATAGATGATGCTGAACAGCCCTCCCCAGTCTGCCTGCTTTGTCGCAATCTATCACCCCAGGCCTTTTAATTAGCGGTTGCAGGTGAATCACTAATTGGCCGCACATTTGCATACATAAGCCAGGGAGTTCCAGGGTTACAGTTATAAATCTTAGTCACTTAGGCACGGCATAAATGTTACATTTCATCCCTCATCTCTTCTAATTGCCTCATCAGCTCTTTACAAAGGGTTGTCCTATATTGGCAATTTTAAACTGGTGAAAAATGACTTGCTGTATTAATTTGTTTGAAAAACATGGCGTTTGGAAGAAGGAAGGACTAAGAAAAAATGAAGCAAAGGCATTTACATGGAGGTTTTTGAGACAGCATCAGAGGAACATGGTGCTTCAAAGTGGCGCATGGTTTAATCGTTTCATTGGTTTGAGCTCTTTGGTGGCATCGACACAGTGAAGATTAGCAAAGAGAAGCCTTTTCCGAGACAGATCAGCTTAAGCAACATCAGTGAAGGCTCCTTTACCTTGGGCCCCTATTGACTCCAACCTTTAGGAACATGGGAGAAGTTGAGGCTTATTCATGTTGGATCTGATCAAAGGGTCAGCCTGTTGTCAGAACTCACCTTGACTCTTGGCCAGTGGGGATGCTGTGGGCCTTCAGGTGACGACTTGGCTCATCAAAAGTTTATGATCCCCTATCTGGAGGCAGAGATACTCCAGCTTCCAGTCATTTGTAAAAACATCCCAATTGGTAATTCCATTACAGACATAATTACAACCTTAAATACTGTTTACTAAAGGAGTCACACGTGCTGAGGGCTAGACTGCTCATAAGACAAAACCTGTTTTAATACCCAAGTTCTCTGTCTGCCACACAGCAGGATGGAAGGACAAAGGCGATTGGTGTGACAAATGCACTGGCTTAATTAATAAAGAACAATCTCCAAATTATATATTTAGTTTTATACAAAATATAATATCAATGTTTCTTTTTAAGACCATGATCATGGGTTACATGGGGTTCTCAGGCCAATACAGACTAGAGTACAATCAAGTAGGTATGGACACTAGTCAGAGGTATGTCTGGCTTACATTCCTACCAATATAATTCCTCATGCCAGGCCCCAAATGCCTCCTCTTCCTTGCAAGCAAGCAAGCTAAGGTGGCTCATATACGTATATATTTTACTGATTTCAGAGAGTAGAAGGCAGAGGGAGAGAGAGAGAGAAACATCAGTGAAAGAGAGGCAGTGATCGGCTGTCTCCTGCCCACCCCCTGCTGGGGATTGAGCGCAAAACCCGGGCATGTGCCCTCACCGGGAAGTGAACTGAGATCTTCTGGATCATACATAGGTTGATGCTCAACCGCTGAGCCATGCCGGTGGGCAAGGTGGCTTATATTTTTATTTGAGATGATTGTAGTCCTCCATTTGGACCTAGGTAATGCTGGCTCTGCTTCTCTCTTTGCTGATTGCAGGGATCACCGATGGCCACGTTGATTTTACCTCTCAGTCTGAGGCTGCCCTCTTTGCTGTTGTATGATGTCATTTTTACAACCATTACCTAGATAATACCTTTTCCTTCTCCCAGTGGAGTTAATCTTGTATTTCCTATTTCAGTTTCTCTCTCCTGTTCCCTCCTAAAGAGGCATGGTGCTTGCTTGCTGGGGATAGAAAGAGGGGAAACAGAAGGAAAGGAGAAAATTCACATCGTGTATTAGGTGTTGCTGCTATAAGCTGTGTGAAAAACAACACTGAGTCTCAGTGTCCTACAAAACCAAACATTAATTTCTCACTCACAGGTTTGTAGTCAGCTCTGGTGGCTTTGTTCCAGGCCCTGGGTCAGATGCCTGTCTGCTCCAGGTGTCTCTCATTTTAGGACTATGGCAGGGCTTTCTCTTCTCATAGCAGAGGCAGGGAGAAGTGAGCACAGGAGACCAGGCGAAACCATACAAATATGTTTAAGGGCTCTGGTTGTGGCATGTGGGATACATTATGCCTGCTTCTGTCATTGGTCAGTGCAAATCATATGGACGAGGCCAATATTAATGGGATAGGGAACTGCACTCTTCCCACAGGAGGAGTCGGAAAGGAGAAAGCATATCAGTAATGCAACCTGCCATTTGTGGCTGTGTTTCAGCAGGGTTTAGACAGTTTAGTGATTCCTAGTTTCTGGGAGTAGTCCTGGGCCCTAGAGAACTGGGAAAGAGAAGAAATAAGATTTAAAGTTTATTGTTACAGATTATGAATGGAGTCTTCCAGAAGTGCAAGTAAATTATTTGAGTTACTTTAAAAATTACTTTTGGTACTTGGGCTTTATTTTCTTGAATGTAATATTATCCTGAGCTTGCCGCATAGGTCTCCTGGATTTTGAGGCTTATGCGTGGGTTGGTTGAAACTTGGCGGCGGGCCTGTGAGGGGCTGGAGTGAGTTGCTTCCTCTCGCTGAATGTTTTGTGATGGTCTCAGTCATCCTCTAGGCCTGTGGTCTTCCTCTGTGTCTGTTCGCTCCTTAGATAAGGGCATATGATTTTTTACTGGCTCATTAATTGGAATTTCTCCGTGGAGTTCTGCACAGCAAGAGCTCTGGCAACATGCTGATTTCTTACAAGCTTTATCCATCAGTCAAGAAGTCTACAGGCATATTGGATATATATGTTTTAGTTTATCAAGTGATCTTTTCATATAAGGGCTGTTTGGAAGTTTACTCCCAAAGGGACTAGCCACCTTGAATCAAAAATCTCCAAATATTATTTAATTCCAAATATTCCAAAAATTTTAATATTGCCCGAACGTAAAATTTTCAGTTTGAAAGTCACGGGTTAATATTGCCTATAAATTGAGTTCTGCAAAACTAAATTGTGTACAACAGCTGACTTGACTTGGACTAATTGTAAAGGAACACAAATCACTATGTTGTCACTGTTGGGGGTTGGGGAGAAAAATCTCTCTTTCTCTGCAAATTCTTTTTATAATAATGGTGATGTTTTGGACATAATATTTATTTCCCATGACAAAACAGCATTTCTTGATAAGTAGATTGTTTTCATCAAATACCTTCTACAAAGTAAAACTGGTTCTTTGTTCTGTTATAGTTATTTAGTAAAATGATGGAGTGGAAAGGAGTTTTGGTAAGTCAGTTTGGTGTAATAGTCAAAATAGTAGTTTGACACTCAGAAACACCAAGCTCCTCTCCATGACCCTCCTCTTCGATACTGCATAATCCCGGCACTTCTACTGCATCCCCATGAGCTTCAGTTTCCTCCTTTGCAAAAACGGGACAATAATCATAACTATCTGACAGAGTTATTGTGAGGATTGAGTGAAGTTATGATCAAAATTTACTCAGCACCATGCCTACTCAGACTAAATGCTCACTAAATATTAGCTGCTGATATTATTAGCAATAGTTTTATGAGTCATGGATAATGAATGGACATGTAGACCTAAAGACTGACATTTGAGTCATTTTAGGGGTGAACTTTCTGTTGGGTTTTAAATCTTCCTTTTTCTTTGAAAGAAGAAGATTAAGGTTTTGAAAAACTGGCACAATCTATAACATACAATGTAAGTGCTAAAAGAAAAACGGCAACTGTAACCTATTCGCTGAGCATGTGTAATTTTTTCTTTTAATTGTACAAAATTTTATTAAGTACATTTCCTGTCTTTGTTGACGTTACCTGCAAACCCCATCTGGAACCTCGGAGATATCCCGAGCTCCTAAAAGCTCCCAGTGCCTTATTCATGGCCTGTCTCCTTACTCTCATTCTACTGTCCTCTCCACCACGTATGCCAGTAGTTGTCACCCCTGGGTGCACTTTAGAATCACCTGGGAGAAAATATTTGCAAATAATGTACCTGGTAAAGGGTTAATATCCAAAACATATAAAGAACTCATACAAGTCAATAGTCAAAAAGCAAACAAGTCAATTTAAAAAAATGGGCAGAGGACCTGAATAGACACTTCTCCAAAGAAAACATACAGATGGTCAACAGGTACACAAAAAGATGCTCAACATCACTAATCATCTGGGAACTGCAAATTCAAACCACAATGAGATGTCACCTTCACACCTGTTAGAATGGCTGCCATCAGCAAATCAATAGACAACAACTATTGGCGAGGATCCTGGAGCAAAGGGAATCCTTGTGCACTGTTGGTGGAAAGCAGTATGAAGTTACCTAAAAAACTAAAAATAGAACTGCCATATGACCCAGCATTTCCACTTCTGGGGATTTACCCAAAGGAATCCAAAATACTAATTCAAAAAAATATAGGTATGCCTATGTTCACTACAGCATTGTTTACAATAGCCAAGATGGGGAAGCAACCTAGGTGTCCATCGATAGATGGATGGATAAAGAAGATGTGATACTTATGTGTGTGTGTGTGAAATCTTGCCATTTGTGACAATATGGATGGACCTAGAAGACAATGTGCTAAATGAAAGTCAGACAGAGAAAGACAAATATTGCATGATCTCACTTATATGTGGCATCTAAAAACAACAATAAATAAGCTTAGCTACAGAGGCCAGATTGATGGTTGCCAGAAGTGGGGGTAAAAAGGTGAAGGATGTCAAAAGGCACAAACTTATAGTTATTAAATGAATAAGTCATGGGATGTAATATACAGAATGGTAACTATAGTTAATATTGTATCGTATATTTGAAAGTTGCTAAGAGAATAAATCTTAAAAATTCTCATCACAAAAAAAAATTCTGTAACTGTGGTTGGTGACAGATGTGAACTAGACTCACTGTCATGATCATTTGGCAGTATATACAAATATTGAATCTTTATGTTATACATCTGAAACTAATATAATGTTGTATATCAATTGTGTCTCAATTTTTTAAAAGTCAGATAATGAAAAGAAAAAAAAGAAAGAAAATTTCTATGCCTGAGCCCAGCCCCGGATAGTCTTATTTGGTTTTGCTTTGTTGAGAATCTCTGGACTAGATCCCATTTCTGGAATCTCTCAACCCCTTTCTTCTCTCTTCTTTCCACTATATAATCAAGTCTTACCTTCTCTACAAAGCTATCCTTGACTTCTTGGGAGAGTTGGGGATATGCTGCAGTACCAGCTCCTAAGTCTCAGTGGCCTGAAAGAATAAAGGTTTATTTCTTCTGACAGTGCCAGTCCATCCCACATGAGTGCCGTGGCCTCACTCCCTGATATCTTCACTCCAGGATCCAGTCTTTCATCTTTCCAGGATGTTGCTGGTTGTGGTGTCAGAGGAAAAGGGCACAGGGACAGCAAACGCTGGTGATTAAATGCTGTAGCCCAGAAGTAACATATGTCACATTTGCTTAAAACATTTTGGTCGGAACTGGCCACACCTCACTTTCAGGAAAGGGAACATGGGAGCCTACCATGTTCCACAGGAAAAACAAAACACTGGTGAGCAGTTCCATCGTCTACCACACTTGACAATACNAACACTGGTGAGCAGTTCCATCGTCTACCACACTTGCCATACTTTTCTCTCTTTCTTGAATTCCCATTGCACTCATCTGCACCATATGGAAATGTATCATTTCATTGCAGGTTATTTTGAATTTTGGATCTGGAAGACACCTTAGAAATCATGATTTAACTCCTTTGCTGACTTTGGTTCTTAAAACCAAGGTGGATTCCCATTTGTTTATTTTTAAACAAAATCGCCAAAACAACAAGTGTTGTCAATTCCTCCCCCCCCTCCCCCCCAGTGAAGGAAAAAACAAACTGATGGTGGAAATGCAAAGCTGCTGGGGGAATGCATTTCTGCATCAGCTGCTGCCCGGCGCGTTCCTCGCGCTCCTGTAGAGGGGCCTGTGATCCCGGCTCGTTTGGAGAATGGTTGCCTCCCCTTCCCTGCTGGCCTTGTGCCTACTTGCACTTTAGTGATATTAATGGCTACTGAGGAAATAAGACTTTTGGAGAAAGCTTTTAATCCTGACCATTCCCAAGTTTTATTGAATACATTTTTACCATGATATAGCCTCTAGGGGAAGGCAGACTAGTAAACCAGACATGATCATCAGGTCACGTGCGTGGCAGAAACTGTGCTTATTCCCCAGGGGAGTGAGGCTTCTCAGGCCTCAGAGGAGACAGATGAATGTGTCATCCTGTAGCAGCAGGGCGGGTCATCGCCTGGGTGGCAAGCTATGTAACTTATGAACAGGGAGTCCCAACTCCACAGTGTCTGCAGCCATCTCGATGCTGTGTTAGCAGCTGAGGGTCAAGGGGAAAAAAGAGAAAAAATGGCGTGGGTGAGACTTGGATTTCTTCTACTGTAAGGAAAATCCTTCTGTTTATTTTTAGCATTCTTTTAGTCTCTTCAGTGTCTGTGGCCATCTTAAAACCACTGCATGGTGCTGGAGCACACTTTTCTCTGGAAATCCACTGATACTTTTGCCGTAAAGTTATTTGACCTCTTTCTTTCTAATTTTGCAGTGTCAGTCTTTGAGCTGAATAATTTCAAACAGATTTGCCTCCCAAGAACCCTTTTCTTTGTGGAGCAAACCATAAAGAAACACTTGACTGGTGAAATGATGAATACTCTCAACCTCACAAACTATTAAGAATCAATTTCTCAAGCATCATATCTAATTATCCTCCCTCCCCCCACCCCATTCCAATTCAGGATCTCAAGATTAAGGAAAAGCAGCTGAAAAAACAATATTCTTGGTTGGTGTTCAGGTACTGCCCATTTTTGGTTTTATGTAACTAAAGTATAAGAAGAAGAGACAACTTCCAAAATCTGCCTATGTAATTGCCAAAAAAAGACAGAATATGCAGAGAAAGAAAAAATTGTGCTAGGATGCAGAGATAGCAGTATTGATAGGAATATTAGAAGTCTTCTTGTCTAATGGCTCTCAAAAGGTCCTTAGGGTGACACCAGGCATTCTGTGAGTTGGGAGGAGACTAAGAGGCCCATCTGATATGGCTGCTCAGGTGGCCTTGAGGAAAAAAGAGCTTCAACTGGGCCTCTGTGAAAAGGCAGAGAATGTGGCCCACTGGGGCGGGGCGCAGCGGTTGAGCGTCAACCCAGGAACCAAGGTTCAATTCCCAGTCGGGGCACAAGCCTGGGTTGCTGGATGGATCCACAGTAGGGGTGTCAGGAGGCAGCTGATTGATGATGTTTCTCTCTCATCAATGTTTCTATCTCTCTATCCCTCTTCCTTTCTCTCTCTAAAAATCAGTAAAAAACCCCACATGTTAAAAAAAAAATCACTCATATTTAAAAACAAAATCAGAGACTGTGTGGGTGACACTGGAATGCATGTGCGTGTGCATGTGGGGGTGTGTGGAGGTGCAGAAGCAGCAGGATATGGCAAGTGGAGGGCATCTGGAATGAGAAGGCAGGGATAGGAAGCTGCGCTGCTGAGCGGGGTCAGCGGTCTTTGGATCATTAGAGCAGGTCTAAAATTTGTAGAAAAAAATGGTTTGAGAATCGCTCATTCAGTCTAGCCCGTGTTTCTGTTACACGTTACTCAACACAGTTGTCCAAGATAAGTTGAAGGTGAGGAAGAGGTTCCATATCTCACTTCATAGTAGGTTTAGTGTTTGAGCACCTTTAGAGTCAACTTTTATATGTAAAACAATAGCTATATGCATCATGTAGGTCTTGCTGAAGTCTGAGGCCATTTCTCTTGTTACGTGCTCTGGAGATGCAGAACAACTGATGGGAGTCGTGAAGACATGTTTTGGTTGCAAGTGACAGAAGCCCAACTTGCATGAGCTTATCAAAGAAGGAATTTACTGACAAACATGCCAAGCCACGGGAAAGGCAGGGGTGTGACTGATCTCAAGGCCCTGGAAGGGGAGCCTCTGCTTCCCCCTGCACATTGGCTCCGTTCCCTCAGGCTGGCTTCCTCTGTGAACGGCAACAACAGCCACTGATAACTCCAGTCTTGTGCTTCCCAAAACTTTCCGCCTGAGAAGCAGCTCCCCGTTAGTTCCCTACAAAAACCACCCAAGGGTGGGACTGTGATTGCCCCAGTTTGTGTCACATGAGTGCC